GCTGATTGCGGTTATGCTGAGTAAATAGGCATTTTATTAATATGAATTGGGTTAATATTTTTGTCCACAACAGTGCCAGCTTGCTGCCACAGCTCTGTAGGCACAATGCGGCTGGCTATGTGATGGTTATCTTTTTGGGAGATTGAAGCATGCACTAGAAAGTTAAACAAATACAGCTCACTAGCTGGCCCTAAATAATATATATAGTGATCCTTTATAATTCTTTATTCAGCATTGAGGAATGAACATATTATACAATTGTTAACGCATAAATCAATACATTCAGTTATATCATTGAGTATTAAATATAATACCCTAGAGTTTAGTCATTCAGAAATTCTCCACGTTTTATCTTTAACGTAAAACAACCACAAAAAAAAAAAAAAATAATAAAAAGGAAACATTCTCTAACTTATATGTATATCTCTCCTTTTTATATAGGCCACGGATCCCAGACTTTGATAAAAGTTGAAGAATGTCTAACTCTTGATGTTAAATCATCCATAATAAAGTTTTCTTCAATTTTTAAGTGGACCTCTCTTATAGATGGTAGATTTGTTTATAACCAACCGGCGGTTATACATCTACGTGCTGCCAATGTAATAAGGTGTAATAGTTTCTGCAAATGTCTAGGTAGACCAGTTATGGATTTGGATAATAAAAATATCCAAGGGGCTCAATGTTTTCTTGTATTATTGTTAACACCAGTTTGTTTTATTTCTTTCCAAAAACATAAAATTTTTGGGCACTCCCACCACATATGTAGAAATGTCCCTTGCTGTCCACATCCCCTTCAACAAAGATCAGTCAGATTTTTACCAATTTTATACAGAAAGACAGGCGTGGCATGTCATCTAAACAAGATTTTAAACATCTGCTCTTGAGAGAGTACACATATAGATATTTTTGAAGCAGTTTCCCAGATATCTATCCACTCATTAGGCTCCAAAGACTTTCCTAGGTCTGCTTCCCAATGTGATATATAATTTAATGGACTCCATATAAATCCGAGATAAGACCTCTCCTTATAATTTCTAATTTACATATTTTCTCAAAAGCAGTGAGAGGAAGCTGAATTGATATTCCTGACTTCAGTACAGTGGGCGAAATCTCTAATCTGGAGATAGCAAAATAAATCTCCTGCCTTCCACTCTAGACTGGCCCTTAATGTAGCAAACCAGACCTCTTCTTCCATCCATAGGTCATCATATCTATAAATTCTTTCCTGTTTTAAGTTTTGAAAGTTATTCTCTTCCATTCCCGGGCTGAATAGCCTGTTCCAAAAAACAGGTGTCATAGGGGAGGGGAGGTTGGTCAAGCCATATTTTAACTTAAATGTGTTCCAAATATAAAGGGAGTTTAAAATTGATGGGCAGATTTTTTTTGTATGGCCGGTCTTGAAACCTTATTTAACCACATATACAATGCTGGTGAGTCTGAATTCATCGAGTCAATCTCCATGTCTGCGCCAGCAGTGTTTCCCGTGAGGTGAATACCATCCAATTATTTATGCCAGCTGGGCCGCATAGTAGTAAATGAGTAGATTAGGGAGACCTAATCCCCATTTATCTCTAGGTCTATACAAGAGATTTCTAGCTACTCTTCGACGTCTATCCTGCCAAATAAATGTATCAACGGCTTTCTGAATGCTCTCTAGATCTCCCTTACACACCCAAAGGGGTAGGGCTTGAAATTAAAATAATAGCCTGGGTAGAATATTCAATTTTATAGAATGAATTCTGCTGATCCATGAAATTGGCTTATTATGCCAATTCTCTAAATCCTTTTTCAGGTTTATTATTAAATGTAAATAATTATCTGTGTATAATGAATTATAAAAGTGTCCTATTTTTTTTGTTTTCCACGGTGAGTTACAGTCAGAGTCCTTAAGGTTTTGGTAGGTCAGGCCAGAGTCTCGCAATCAGTCAGTGATTGATCGAAGAGATCTACATCACTGCAGCGTGGACCTCGAAAGGTCTTGATAAAACGTGAGTTGTGAGTTTTCGAACAGGTAAGGTGTTTTATCGCGGACTGCGGTCATAATTTGTCCCTTGTCTTGAAGAGAGGTACACCGGATTATGACATCGCGGGTGACATTATAAGGTGCATTCAGGGGCTGCAGTAGTCTGTAGGGACCCGTCCATGGTCAACTTCTTGGCTAAGTGTTGAGACAGGATAGTGGCTATTAAGCACCGCAGGTAGTGTGTCCATCACCCTGGCCAGTGCTGTATTTAGCGCAAGGCAAACAAGGCATTTGCCTTGGGTGGCACTTTCCAGGGGGCGACAAAAAACGAAAAAATACCTTTTTTGCCTTGACCCCAGGGTGCCCGGACAGTTTGTATTACAGGCAAGTGGCAAGGGGGCGCTGATCTGAGCTCTTTCTGCTCAGCTCCCTCGCACAACCCACAGTGATGCTGGGAGACGGAATGTGACGTCACTCCGGTGCCCGGCATGACCAAGCGGTGCGCGAGGGAGCTGAGCAGGAGGGTCGGAGTTCCCTCACCGCCTATTTTACGCACCCCCTTCCCCCCTTTGCCTGCCCCTACTCCATCCTGCATGCCTGCCTGACCTCTATCCTGCACGCCTGCTTGCCCAGCAGCCAGCCCAGCAGCCCCACTGGACCCCAGGTAAAAATCCACCCAGCTCTCCCAAAGGTAGGGAGGCTGGGTGGATTTAAATTAAAATAAAAGTAAATAATTATTTGTAAATGTTGTGGGAAAATGTGTGTGTTAGTTTGTCAATGTGTGTGTGTCAGTCTGTCAGTGTGTGTGTGTGTGTGTATGTGTGGCGAAACCGGCCTCGCCACGTGTCCTTGGAGGGGGCTGCTTGCCCGCCTCTTGCCTTTGGACTATGGACCAGACTTTATGTGAATGTGTTAACCCAGATAGCTATGCCATGGAGCCCATTCGTGTAGTTAAAGACTTCGGCTCCATGGCAATTGAACTGTGTGAATAGGATCTGAGCGCTATTCGGTAGTTTTGTGCGCTCAGATCCCAGCTATCTGGGGATATGTGAAATGTCTGTGTCTTATGTGTAAAAAGTGACTTTATGTATTTTAAAGTGTTTTGTGTCTTTTTGCAACCATGTGCTTAATGGAGTCTTGTGTCTGTCCTGGGAGATAATTGAATTACTCTCCAGGATAGAAGACTCTGAAACTGGTTTGGGCCAGAAAGCCATGCTTCATTTAGTCACAAAGGACTTTCCCTTAACTTTTGAACCCCTGGTCTGATTCGTGCCATTTTTTAATATGTTGTTCCCCTGAATGGATTGATTATGAAAATGTATGTTTTATGTTTGTGACATGTATATTTTAGAAGTTATAAATATTGTGTAAAAACTGTATTCCTCTGCCGGTGATAATGAGATTACCCATTGTGTTCAGTAATCATATCACCTGCAGAGGGGAGGATTTTGTGTGGGAGTGTCTGGGTGTATTGTACGGATTGATTGGTTGTTTTGTAACGCCCTGTGGGCTGTACTATGTTTGTGGATTGGGAATAAAAGAGACTGTATGTGACAGTACAGGAAGTTCCTGTTTTAACCCTCAAAGTGAAGTGTCGTCTCATTATTGGGGGAAGGATTTATTGTATGCTGTTCCAGTTTGACTGCTAGGAGAGTAAACCTATTCATATGGTTCCTATTCAACTGTCTACAGCATTCATATGCTTGGGAGAATTTATTTGTTTCTCCGGTTCGGTGATTGTGGTGTCTGCCAGAGTGCTTGGAGTCCTCAGGAAGCGCTAGGAGCATCCTTCAACGGAGGTACCCAGTCGGGGTGCCAGGCGATCCGTTACAGTATGTATGTCTGTCTGTTTGTTTGTCAATAAAAAAGTTGTTATATCAATCAGTGTGTCTGTGAGTTTGTTTGTCTGTCAATAAATGTGTCTGTCTGTCAGTTTGTGTGTGTGTGGGTGTGTATGTATGTCTGTCTGTTTGTATGTCAGTGTGTGTTTGTCTGTCAGTGTGTGTGTATGTCAGTGAGGGCAGGGCCGGCCTTAGGGGTGTGCGAGCTGTGCGACCGCACAGGGCGCCATGGAACAGGGGGCGCCCTGTGGCCGACACAGCTCACTCATGGCCGGAGTGCAGGGGAGCTAAAAGAGGTACCTGGCTGGAGGATTAATTATTCTCCACCCGGGTCTATTTAAAAAAAAAAAAAATCGCGGCAGAGGGGGCGGGGTTTACCGAGCGGCGGAGGCGGGGCTTATCGAGAGGCGGAGACGGGGCTAATACCTCCCGAAGCCCCTGCTGTACAGGAAGAGGGAAAGATGCTTCCCCATCAGCCAACTGCATCCACTGGAAAGAGGTAAGTGTGTGTGTGTGACTGTTTGCCTGTTTGTGTGACTGTCTGTCTGTGTGTGTGTGTGACTGTCTGTCTGTGTGACTGCCTGTCCTTGTGTGTGTGTGTGTGTGTGTGTGACTGTCTGTCTCTGTGTGTGTGTGTGACTGTCTCTGTGTGTGACTGCCTGCCTGTGTGTGACTGTCTCTGTGTGTGACTGTCTGTCTGTGTGACTGCCCATGTATGTGACTGCCCATGTATGTGACTGCCTGTGTGTGTGACTGTCTGTCTGTGTGACTGTCTGTCTGTGTGACTGCCCGTGTGTGTGACTGCCTGTGTGTGTGAGACTGTCTGTCTGTGTGACTGTCTGTGTGTGTGACTGTCTGTCTGTGTGACTGCCTGTGTGTGTGACTGCCTGTATGTGACTGCCTGCCTGCCTGTGTGTGTCTGTCTGTAACTATCTGTCTGTGTGTGACTGCCTGCCTGTGTGTGTGACTTTCTATCTGTGTGACTGCCTGCCTGTGTGTGTATAACTGTCTATGTGTGTTACTGTGTGTCTGTCTGTGTGTGTGACTGCCTATGTGACTGTCTGTCTGTGTGTGTCGCTGTAGCTGTGCCATTGTTTGTGCCTGTGCCTGTATGTGTGACTGCCTTTAACTGAGTGTGTGTGTACATGCCTGTAACCGAGTTTAAATTTCCCCCACCCCTTCCTGTCAAGGCCGCACTTTGACTGACAGACGCTCACTCACTGACAGACGCACACTCACTGACGACACATACACACTCACTGATGACACATACACACTCACTGACTGACACATACACACTCACTGACTGACACATATACACTCACTGACTGACACATACACACTCACTGACTGACACATATACACTCACTGACCAACACACACATTCACTCACAGACACACACACATTCACTTACAGACACACACAATTACACACACATTCACTTCAAAATAAACACTCACAGACACACACACAGACATTTCCACTAACACTCACAAACTAATATTTTTTACATTTATTTTAAATCCACCCAGCCTCCTGGGAAAGCTGGAGTGGATTTCTTACCAGCAGTCCAGTGTGGCTGCTGGGCAGGCAGGCAGGGGGCGCACAGGCTGAGTAAGCAGCGCTTAGTGATGCCGGGAGCCGGACTGACGTCATATTCTGTCTCCCGGCTTCATTAAGCGGCGCAGAGGAAGCTGAGCAGGAAGAGCTCAGGTGAGTATGCTCCTTCGCTGCCCGCTGCCAGCCTTGGGGGGGCTCAAAAGTGGCCAGCCGGTCAGCTCTTGAGCCCCCAGGATGCGAGGCAAGCAAGGGATCTGCCTGGGGGTTTGGAGGGATGCTTTTTTTTGCCGCCCCCTGCAAAGTGGTGCCCAAGGCAGATGCCTTGTTTGCCTCGTGATACACACGTCCCCGGTGCCTGTGTGTGTTACTGTATTCAGGCAACTTGGTGGGAGGTGGGGGGGGCGCCGTGAAGACTTTTTGCACAGGGCGCCTAATTGCCTAAGGCCGGCCCTGAGTGAGTGTATGTATGTTATATAGTTATATGGGAGGAACCTCTTGATCTGAAATAAATAACATGAAAACAATCATAGCATAATACTGTTAAAAATATATCTAGATCTATTACAGAGGTATTGGGTCACTCACTCTTTCCAGAGCCACAACAAGCAGGCTCTGGCATAGAAGGCAGTTGAATAATCAGCTTATTCAGGCTATGGAGTTTCTCATATGGTGTCTCCTTTTTTTTTTTTTTCAATTTTACAATTTTTATTTTCACAGATAAAGAAAAGGGGGGATACAGAAAGTAAGAGGGAAGGGGGGAATTGCCATACAATATTGCATTGCTGCGAACTTATATAGTCAATTCAGCCTCACCTATGGGGGTAAGGTTTAAAATATTGCGTACCATCCATATATGACAACAATTTGTGATCACATTGAGTACCAAGTACCACTAGTGGTAACCCCTGGAACTTGGGAGCTGAGTGTTAATATTCGGGTACACACTTATACATCTTTACAATTATGGAGTTTTACATATACCCTCTTGCTCATTTATCTGACGACTTGTTGCTTCCAGGGACTGTTGGTGTCTCATTTTAAATGCTAGAAGAAATGCAGCAGGATCAAGGATGTTTCAAATAAAATAATCTTGGATACTGGATACACTTGCATAAAATAAGGCATACAGCATCAAACAACTGCACAAAAAAATAAAACAAAAGAAAACAATACCAATAACGCGTTTCAGCCATAAGGTCTTTCTCAAAGTTCATAGTGAAGCTTCTTGCATGGTGCTTTATATCCGGTTTCCTCTGCATTTAATTTTCGCGCCCATAGCCAGTGTTCCGCAATCACTTCCGGGTTTGCGAACTTCCGGTCACAGGATGTTAGTGTGCAGTTGGTTTTTGACTGAGATGGTAGTTGTTTGGATAAAACTAAATGACTGAGCAAATATATAGTTAACCTAGCCCTGTATATTACTGAAAGTGAATTTATACTAATTCCATTTGCAAAGATACTGCAACATTGATTTTGTTCTATAAATGTCTGTGTTCTTTCGGTTTACACAATATCAGTTATTGGGAGCAAAAAAAGATAATGAAAAACCTTTTCCTCACAAGACAATAAATCCATCACTATGGTTACATATTATAAGGATAAGTTGAACTCCCCAAAATATGTCAGTCTTCTCCCCTCCCACCTCCCTCCCCCAGCTGAATAACAACATACACAGATCAGCCTAGTCCACACCAACAGAACACCACCACAACCAACGTAACGAACCATCCCACATCACCAACACCATGCTCATCTATTCACACAACACCAAAGGCCTTAACACTCCACACAAAAGGCGCATACTACTGGAGGACTTAAAGCGCATCAAGGCAGATATAGTCTGTGTGCAAGAAACGCACTTTGTTACAAACTGAATTCCCATGTTTGCCACCAGAGAGTACCCAACACAATACCACGCAACACACACATCGAAATCAGAAGGAGTCTCCATCCTATTACACAACTCCCTAACGGTAGAAATACTCCGGGTCAAGAAAGACAGCCAAGGTAGATTTATAATCCTACAAAGCATTATCAATAATAACCCGATCACGCTAGTATGCCTCTACTGCCCAAATGACCAACAGCGCAACTTTCTGCACAAAGTCCTCCAAAAAATACCAACAGACGTGACTGCCCCCACGATCATATGTGGAGATCTCAACCATACCATGGACTCACGTATAGACTCGACAACACCTAGCACTTCCACTAGACATCTTAGACTAAAAAAATGCAAACAGAGCACTTCTAAAGCTCACACACGAATACGGTCTGTACGATGCATGGAGAACAATACACCCCTCAACAAGAGAATATACATTCCTATCACAAGTACACAAAACCTACTCAAGAATCACATACTCATATCGGGCATACTGCTCCCACAGGTGAAAGACTGCACCATCGGAAATATAGTACGGTCAGATCATGCACCAGTAACTCTATCCTTGCACAACCAATACCAGCACAGGGGTAGACCACCGTGACGGCTCAATGACTCGCTATTATATGACAAAACATATACAGCTACACTAGCGGAAAACTTAGAGAATTATTTCCAGCTAAACGATAACTCAGAAGCCTCAATACTCTCCGTCTGGCAAGCCCACAAAATGGTTATACGGGGACAGCTGATCAGCCGAACCTCATATCTCAACCGCCAACGCAACAAAACATATATAGACCTCCTCCGGAGACTGAGAGACGCCACGACGGCACACCTGTTGCACCCATCGGACACGCATGTGGACTCCATTAAAGATATTACCAAGCAACTCAATACAAGATCACTTGAGAAAACGGCCAACATCCTTACGAAATTGAAACTGAACTCATACACTCGAGGCAATAGAGCAGGGAAACACCTAGCCAACATACTCAGGCAAAAACAGGCAAACTCCAAAATCCCGTTCTTACTCACTAACACAGGAGACAAACTCCACAATCCACAAGACATCAACAATAAAATGGCAGACTATTACCATTCCTTATATAACCTTAAAACAGACCCGACGCTGCACCAGCCCAAAGCACAAGAGATAGATAACTTTCTTGACTCTGTCCAACTACCCACACTCACGAATGCACAACGAACGGTCCTTAAAAATCCCATAACTACAGAGGAAATAATAGACACCATCAACTCCCTCCCAAAAGGAAAATCGCCAGGTCTGGACGGACTGACTAACTTATACTACAAACACTTTGCCCCTAACATAGCCCCCTACCTGCAAAGAGTCTTCCACCATTCACTCCAAACAGGGACACTACCGACAGAGATGCTTATGGCGCATGTCGCCACCCTTCCCAAACCGGGAAAACCACCGACCAAATGCCAAAATTTAAGACCCATCTCCCTGCTGAACACGGATGTAAAAATACTGGCTAAAATCTTCTCTAATAGGCTAACACACATAATCCCCACAATTATAGGTAGCGACCAGGTGGGATTCGTGGGGGGAAGACAGGGAGCGGACGGAACGAGAAAAACCCTAAATCTACTGTGAGATGCAAAACAAAAAAGACTCAGGGGTACTACTATCACTGGACGCAGAAAAGGCGTCACTGGCCCTTCCTACTAGCAGTTCTCCAAAAATTTGACTTCCCAGAACAGTTCCTACTACTAGTAAAAGCACTGTACTCATCACCATCGGCCCGGGTAGTAAACGGAGGATCCATCTCAAAACCATTCACCATATCCAATGGCTCCAGGCAGGGCTGCCCACTCTCCCCACTGCTTTATATTATAGCGCTGGAACCCCTCACCCACCTCATACATGGGTTTAAAGTGAAAGGACGAGAATACAAAATGTCCCTGTTCGCAGACGACATTCTCCTAACCCTTGAACAACCGCACATATCATTGCCCAACTTCCACGAACTCCTCTCCCAATACAGTAAATGCTCTTACTATAAACTAAATGTAACCAAAACCCTAGCATTAGGAATAAACATCCCAAACACAGACCTGACAAACCTAAAAACGAATTTCAATTATGACTGGAGACAGGACTATATCAAATTCCTGGGGGTCAACTTCACACCCTCGACGGGTGCACTATACAAAGCAAACTATGTTAAACTACAAACAGAAATTAAATCCATCCTACAAAGCTGGAAGGGCAAATATATATCATGGACAGGCCGAATAGCTTCAGTAAAAATGGTAATCCTACCGAAAATCCAATATCTGATCCGCGCGCTGCCAATTAAACTCCCGAAACAATATCTGCTGGAAATGCAAAACACCCTAAACAAATATGTCTGGGACTATAAAAAAACAAGAGTTGACAAGACAACTTTGTACAGATCAACCTCCTTAGGTGGGATGGGCCTCCCCGACATAACAGGATACTATAGAGCTGCCCACATAACCCCCCTTGTGGCAACTTCACACCGATAAGAACTTACATCTTGGGCCGAAATAGAGAAAAACCACGCAAGGGGACTCTCCATCCCACTCCTGGCATGGCTACCAAAAACCCACAGACCAAAAACATCTGAACTACTACCCACGACTGCACTGGCCCTTTCAATATGGGACACATACTGAAAGAAAATGGGAGCAACAGTAACACTTTCTCCAGCGCTCCGAATGGACACATTACAAGTACTAATCCCAGATTTTAACTACAAACTTTGGAATAGACATGGTGTGAAAACTATCTCCCAAATAATGCAAGGAAACAACCTCAAACCACTGCCAGACCTCCAGACAGAATTCCAACTCTCCAGCACGGCAACCTTCTCATACAGACAACTGAGATCATGGATATGCGCCCAACCCAGACCACAACAACCAAAGCCAACAAATGCACACTGGACAACGATAATCAAGATATGCACACAGACAAAACCAGCAACGAAACTCATCTCCACAGTATACGCTTCAGAACGCGCGCAAGCACTGACCAAACCACCCTCCTTCATAACAACGTGGGAACAGGACATAGGACACCAACTC